AACTAACTAACTAACTAACTAACTAGTAACTAACTAACTAACTAACCAACTAACTAACTAACATTCAGAGGGAGAAAGGGATAGGATCTCAAATTAAAATGTGTTGAACAGTAAGTTCTCTTTACAAGAGTGAAAGTAGGAGATATGTTTAAATGTTTTCACTTGAAGAAGATACACCATCACTCTCATCAGGGGGGTGCACCATTAGGTGTTGATATCTGGGTCGGTCATTAGAGGCACTGACCCACGTATACATTGGAAGACTAGGGAGGTCCATGCACTCAATAACCCCCCCCCCTGGATTCATTGCTGCCTATTGTTATTTATATTGAATATTGTGTTTGCAACTTTGTAATAATTATTAATAATACTGTGTAACAAATATTAATAATTATTAATATTAATGACTAAATAATTATTTTCAGTCTTGGATATTACCATGGATAAATCGTGACGACTCCGATGCCCACCCTTTTACATGGTTGGTCACCCTGTGGTCAGACCTTTCACCTGAAGTACGCTGGATGGGTCTAAGCATTTCAACTACTTTAGCTAGTACAGTGGATGGCCATATAAGTCTAATACAAGCCTTACAGGGGGTAGTAGGGGGAGTTATTGGTATTGGTTTGTCTTTGATGTTGGATGATGGAGAATGTGGTATGGTTAGGACTCAATCTGCTCTTCTTTTATGCCACCTGGTTGAAAATCTTGTTCCTGAGAAATCAAAACAACATAATGAAAACAAAGTATGTATTGTACAGTTTATACATTATTTAATAGATAATTACTGAGGCACACAGCATTCCTTGGTGTAATGCAGGCAGCWTAGCAAACCTGTTTCTGTCTGCATTCGTTGATTTAATGCAGAGGGAAAACAATGGGTTACGATCGATATCAGTAATTATTTTATGACTATTTAACAATTAGACCTCGAGGTCGAGTGGACTACGAGCTAATAGCCCATGAGGCCAAGTCCGAGAGGCCGAATGGGCTATTAGCTCCTAGTCCACGAGGCCGAGAGATCTAATTGTTTTAGTATAAACATATTAATCGGTCAAATTATGAAAAAAACAAATTGAAATATCCTTAAAACAATTTTTTAATGAGATGCTGCCATTTTGATTTTCCCGCGAGTGGTCTATCACAAATTAGGCCATTAGTAGAGTAGCCAATCACAGCGCAGTATGAGTGATAGACCATTAGTATGTTTATACGAAAATATTTTAGGATCCCTCGATAATAAATTATCCTTTGCTATTTGCATGTTGCATGTATATGTTTACCTTGTAAGTTGTTCATTATTTTATCAACAATAAACTTGTAAAACATTGTTGCTATCTATCCCCATATTTGTGGTTGAACATCATCAATTGTTTTTTATTTATAACGCCATTATATCTTTCTTTTCCAGAAATCCCTTCCAGAGATTTCAACTCTCAGGGCATTGCTGGACCACTTCAAGTTATTCACTAGAATGCAGTCAATCCTTTCAAGTTTTTCCACAGGCAAACTTTCCTTTAAAGTGATAAGTTCCCGTGCTTGTCAGAGCTCAGCATCCATTTCAGTGTCAACAACAAGCTCCTTCATCCCATATCAGCATATCCCATCTAGTTCCCAGTCTATCAGTCTTGTATCAGACACTGCCCACAATGCACCTCAGACCCAGTCCCCTTTGCCAAATGGGATGAGTAGTCCTGGGGAACAATCCATGGCAACCCTGTCAAATGGCAGTGTATTGTCTTCAAATGCTTCTGGACATACACAGGAATCCCACATTGCTAACTCTCTTGTTCCATTGCTAAATGAAAGAGGTTTACCTAGTGGGTAAGTCTTGTGACTAGATATTAGATTTTTTCCAGTTATTTTGGCTTGTGGAACAGTGAATTATCAACTGCAACCAACTCTAATTTGTATTTCCCTCTAAGGATGTCAACTTCTTCCAGTAATAGCAACATGCCTTCAGTAGCTGGCTCATTTACATCACAAGGGACATCATTAATGTCATCTCTCACGCCAGCCTTTGTTGGAGCACTTGCACAGTTAATTCAGACTCTAGTAACTGTCGATGGTTCGCATACAATCACAGCCATTAAACAGGCTAACATATTGAATATATTCTGGAGGTGAGATAATCAAAATATATTCTAAGAAATAATTATATATTATTAGAAACAACTGGACTGTCTTCTGTTTGTCTGTCGAGAGTCATTTGAGAAGCAAACTACATTCATGTAGTAAATTAAATTTTTGTCCTCATCCAATGTAGCCATCTTGACTCCAGTGAGCTCCAAGCATTTCTTCAATCCCAGAAGGCATCAACAGAGCCTCTGTCATGTGCCGCAGTGGTTGTAGTTCGTGATGTTCTACAGATGTACACGCGTCTGGTGCAGCTAGCACATGTGCTTGCACATGCAGACCACACCCTCTTGTTTGACCTACAACAGTCTGTCTTTACAATGCACAAAATTGTTGGATTGTTTGCTGTGAATACACTAGACCTTGGTATGTTCATATAGAGTATTACTGAGTATTAGGGGAATTAATATTATTGAATCCCAAAAGGTTGCTCTTTATTGATCAGTAGTTGTAACTATTTATTTGTATAATTGTTATATAAATCAATGTCATTAATTACTGATGAATCTTGAGAAGCATTGTGGGGGTCTTGAAAACTATAATGAAATAAGAATGGTTCCCTATCTTTGATTGTGTGCGTGCAGTGTTAGTATAAGAGATAGCAAAGTCCAGTAAAATATGTTTTTTGAGTAAATGATCATGTCTGAATATTTTAAGCATGTATTAGACCTCAACAGATTGCTCTAATTAGCACTACTAGTAGTTACAATTCTACCCATTCAAGGACAAAATAATATTTATTCTCAAAATCTTTTTTTTGATTATAGTACGTTGTATTGATTGTCTTTTTATTCATTTGTTAGATGACAGTCTTACCAGCCATTGCCATTTGCTATGGCAGTCAGTCTCAGCTTTCCTGATAACTATATTACAGTCTCAAGGTCCTGTCACTGTATCCAGTGTTRCAGAAGAAATGGTCTACAAACACTGGTCTTCATTTACAGGTCAGAATCAAAATAGCTAAGTTGTTCTTTTGGGAACTCAATCACTTAAATGAGAGTCCAAAAGTTACACTCTGGATTTTCCATTTTTTGATTGATAATAATTCTTTTATCTCTGGAAACAGGGGTACTAAGGTTTTTACCTCTCTTTGAACAATTTCTCTGATTTGCTGTATTGTTAAAACACTTTTTAATGTCTGTTGTTTTCTTTTTTTGTTTTGAACAAGCCTCTTTGGTTACATCTTCCGAGAGGTGAAAACCCACCCAGAAACAGATTGTATTTACTGCTGTTGATGGCTAAAAAATGTGATAAACTTTAATTTACTTTTAATGAAAATGTGACTCATTATTTTCTCTTTTAGAAATCTTCAAGAGAGTGACAACCAATTCAAATAGTCCCTCCATTCTACGCAATGTCCTTCTAAAGCTACTTGGCCTGATACTTGCTTGTGAGGGCAAGCGACAGAAAAGAAAACAAGTGTCTAATCAAACTAGCAATGAACTCAACAACATGTCCCAGTTGACAGAAATACTAGACAAAGATGCAGAAACAAATAATCCATCAAGCACTGATTTGAATGATAATCAAACAACACATAAACCAAATGAAGATTGTCCACAAACAAGGCAAAGTTTAGGTTCTGTGTTGTGCTCCTGTCTGTTGGGATGTTATGATAGGTTTAAACTTAATGACAAAGCAGTGAAAGAGAAGTCACTTGTAAAGATTTGTACATCAGCTCTTCTTGCTTTGAGTTTGACAGCCAAACGCATTGCTCAAAATGGTAAGCTTAATTGATGGATTATCTTAAGCTATTTGGGCATTATAGTTTAACACAGACGAGGGGGAAAGTCTCCTCGAAGCCGTGCTAATTAGTTCCGGTCACATACAATATAATGCATATTTACCAAAACTAAACATGGCTGYAAGGAGACTTAAAAGGGTAGGGTAGTAGAGGAAATATATATATTATCAAAACAATGGATTAATAATCTAGTATTTTGTCTTATGAGGGCTATTTTTTCAAGTTTGTTTGAAATGTGGAAATGTTGACTAGATTTGAATAATGAAATGTACAAACTGTACTGGTTGGATTTTCTCTAATTTCCATTGATATTGTTTAATTTCAGAAGGCCTTGTAGAGACTACCATTGAGAATATAAAACACTTGCATGTACAACTCAATCTGGATTCATTACAGCTAGGCAGAGAACCTGCTTGGAAGAAAAAGGTAAAAAATAACACATCAATCTTGTGATAAGTAATTGTTATAGTGCATTATATGYTATCACATGGTTGTCATGGTAGTGTCGGCATTAATTGATGGTTGTCACAATGACCGTTATAGTGATAGAATGTTGTCATAGTAATGTTTGTAGTGGTTGATGGTTGTCATGGTAATTGATTGTTGTTATGGTGATAGTGAAAGTGTTGATTGTTGCCATAGTTAGGTTTGTACTGGTTTAAGTTGCTATGGTGATTGTGATAGTGAACAATGGTTGTCATTGATAATAATTTTAATAAATAAATTAGAGTATTCATTAAACATGTTTTTATTCCAAATTCCTTTAATTTATTTTGTATTCATTGTACTTATTCAAGGAAAATCCAGTCATTGAAGAGATCATTAGTGAACTTGATCTTTTAGAAAACTTTATTCATCGGTATCATGATGGCAAGGTAAGCTTGACTCCATTTTTACACTATTAGAAATTTGTCCACTTTTTTTTCCATTAAATATTTTCTTACTAGATAAATCTCATTTTGTTTTCAGCTGGTTTGTTTAGAATGCAATGTCATTGATGTACTTCACAAACTGTGGTCATGGTGTAGTGTGGAGGTGTCTTTAAGACTCTGTATAATTTCATTTTTATGTACTCTTACTGCTAAATGTCCCAAAGGTAAGTTAATCTACTTATATCTTACTAGTATTCAAAAGCATCTTTAATAATTGGCAAAACAGTGTTAGTCTGTTTTATTGACTAGTTTGACTTGCTGTTTTGGGTACTAATTTTTTGGTCAAATACTATTTTTCTTTTAATTATTTCACATTATAATGATTTTAAAATGTCTCTAAATGTTTGTGGCTCATACCATTCTTTTTACTTCCACATTAAATTGGCTTGACTCTTGTCAAACAATCAAACTTTTGAAATTATTGCAAACTTGGCAGTGACTGACTCCATTTTAGGATAAAAAAWTGTTTGGTTATATAAGTTAAAATCATAACACAAACTGCAAAAAAAAACAAAAAAAACAACAACAGCAAATCAATCACAAAATGAGTTACAAAATGGTAAAAACTACAAATGAAACTACATGATAAAAACTGAGCCAAGACATAATTTCAAATTGCATGGGAATTTGATGCAATTTAGCTGACAATCACTGGGACAATTAATTATTATAATTCCAGCATCTATTTCCATTGGCGGCGATGGCAGTTCATCTCGTGCGAGCCAATCAGGTTCAACATTTCTTAACAGCTTGCTTAAATCAACTTTGGTGTCCAGTAATAAGGTCCTTAGTAGCCAAATATGCCATGACCTGGATATGCAGCTTGCTACCTTTAAAGCTTTAGCAGGACTTCTTTCAAATCTTGTTCTAACTGGGGAATGTCGTGGCATCATTTGGAAGGTAAACATACTTCAAATTCATACTTCATATATTTAATATATGTTACTTAATATCTCCGTCTTTGATATTTCTTTTTAGACAAGATTTTTTTGTTTTTTTTAAATTGCCAAGTGAATAATAGTTTATGTCACACTTTGTTATCTTTTTGCAGAGCAATTTTTTACAACAATTTTCCAAACTTAAACCGCTGAAGCCACCCCAAGGCCGCCCTAGAAACATCCAGCGTATAGTGGGTTTGTCATGGCTGTCAATCTTAGTCAACTTGACATTCTTCACTGATGGCCAGCAAATGGTGATGAAGGTTCCTGGATGTGTCAGCATTTTAATGGAATTCTGCCGTGTTTCACAAGGAAAACACGCCGCCAGCGACACTGCGCTGTTGGTGTTGAGGAATTTGTGTTTCCATGGTAGCAGTAAATCTGTACTTTTGGCAAATGGTTAGTCTACTGTTAAATTATTATCAAATTTATTAAATATTTCTATGGTAAACACGACCATGAAAATCATTCTGTGATCGCATCTTTATATGAGCAAGAGATTTGTCCTGATTTTCATATGACTTTAACTTTGATTTTCTCTTAAAAATGATATCTAATCTTGAAGTTTTTTTGCAAAGTATGCTTTTAGCTTGTGCTGGAATTTGATAAGCTTGCAGCCTGCAGTTTTAAATGCCCATAAAGGTCTCAAGCTCATATTTAATATCAGACTTTTGTACACTGTGAAAAACAACTATATTTACTTTATACATTATATTGCTGGTTTTTAGTCAAATATGTCATAGTAGCCATGTTTGTTTTAATTTATTTTATTTTATTGTGGTTCGTCCCATGATCGTCCACACTCTACACAACTACATTTTACAATATGCTATAGGACAGAAGATGGAAACATAGCAAGGCCCAATTGACATCCATCCCCTTGTTTGTAGTACTTCAACCAAAGATTTGACAGTAACTTTCAGTAACTGTTGTTTCAATGTTGATATTTTTACAGATGCACTTGTCAACCACTTGATATCAAACATTAACAATGCATCATCGTATACAAGTGCCTTAGCTGCATCTGCCATGTGGAGCTTGCTGCATAATAATCAGAAGGTACATGCTGTGTTATTGCCTTATTTACCTTCAATGGTAATATTGCTCCAACATATTGTTTTTCTTGTATACAACTGTCCCAGAAAATGCTGAGTACTTTAGAAATCATTTAAAAAAGCAAAAACCCTTTTAGAGCAGAGATACTGCAACAAACAACGTCCGATTAATGTTTGAAAGTGACTGTGTCAACTCTTTATCTTTGATTGAATGCAATTATGTTAAGCAACAAAGGCATTTTGGTCTTGAAATACATTTGCATTGTCACCATATTCAGCACTGAGCATTAATTTTTGGTATTGATATAAAAGCAGTAAACAATGAAACAAGAAAAGATTTGTGGCTGTAGTAAGGAACATGTTATGGACAAAGTGTTGGAATTTTTTGCACACTCGTGTGAAGTCTGATGCCATAAATCACTTAGTTAAAGTATTGTAGAACATGCATTGACATATAAATCAGAGTTCTAAATTCTCTTCTCTACTTCACCAGGCAAAAGTCACATTAAAAAACTCTGGCTTACAGAAAAAACTTGAAGAATTAAAGATCAAATTTGGTAAGTTCAAAATTGTCGAACCTTTGGCTAGTTTAACAGCATCAAATTTGCTTGTAAAAGATGATTTACAGTGAATGCCAAAAATAAGTTTATTCATCTAATGGTCTCATTCATGGATCCCTACTTCATCTTGAAAGTTAGCTGTGTCTTTACATCAAAGTGAGACAGCTGTTGAGTGTTATAGCTAATAATTAACTATGTTGAGTGACTGTGCAATAATAGATACCAATCCTGTGAAAAATTGTCTGTATGTGTGAGAATGGCTGCTTTTTAAGATAGCACAGGGAACCATGAGGAGACTACTGTTTGGATGAGTATTGAAGATATTTCTCTAACATGTTTCTTGTCTTCCCTCAAGACAAAGCACCATTAATGCAAGATGACAAATATTGGAAGCTCTACAAACATGCACTGGACAACCTCAGTATGGTATTGTAAAAGAGGCTTTCATATCATTTCAAAAACTCATTAATTATTCATGAGGTATTCAGCCAATCCCTGATTGTAATTTGTACCACGTGAAGTAACTTGAAACCAGAGGAAGTACTCGTACCTTGTATTCTACCTTATTTCCAGTTACTTCTACCTTTTTCAAGTTACTTCTACATTATTTCCAGCTATTTCTACCTTATTTCCAGTTACTTCTACCATGTTTCCAACTACTACTAGCTAATGATAATCAAATTATTAGAAATAATCAGTTTAACATTAATTTAGTGAAAAAAGGTCTTTGATACATGACTCCCTCACGACTCGATCCCCTACCGTCCAGTCTATATGCGCCGTCTTATACCATTACACCACCGAGTTTCTGATGCGATTCCTCGGAAGATAAAATACTTATAAATCTTATGGATTAGGCTCATTAGGAATGCCATGAATAGCAGACAAAAACAATTTGAATAGCTTTTGTTTCAGAAAGCCGTCCGGGAATTGAAGAACAACAAACGGTGCTTCATGTATTCAAAATTATGAAAACTGAAAACCTTAGTGGAGATGCAATAAATCAATATATTTCTGTTATATGTATTTCCTTCGCTTTTTTCCCTCCCGAATAATTAATGAGTTTTTGAAGTCGTTCAAAGGCCTCCAATTCGGACTTGACGGGATTTCAAAGTCCTTGCAATTAGTTCCAGTCCTCGGCTAACGCCTCGGACTGGAACTAATTGCGCGGACTTTGAAACCCCGTCAAGTCCTCATTGTCGGCCTTTAAACATTACGTCCAGACATTACCAGGAAAAAAAACAGAAGCTACAGGCTTTTTTGAACTATTTTAAWTTTGAGTCCAAAGAGAGCCTAACTTGGTAGTTATGGTAATTCTACAGAAGATTGACATGATTGTATAATTCTATATTATATAATACTGAAAAGTTATGGAATAACTGCTAAAAATCTAAGTCAGTGTATATTTCTGTTTTGTAAATATTTTATTATTTATTAGGAAATATTTACTCAATGAAACTACGATTAAGTACAGTTCCTTTAAGTCTTGCAATAGGACAATTTCCATTTCTTGCTATGTGTGCCTTGAACTATTTGCAATGTTTTTATTGTACATATATCCTAACAAAAGGTGAAAAAGGAAGCAGTATGGAACAAAAATCATTAAAATAATATGTGAATTTTTCTGAGTTTTATTGATTATTATACAATTCTTCCATTCTACAAAATTATAAATGCGCACGAAAAAGGTTTGATTTCTACTGTTTCTATCAGTCCAATTTCTATTTTCATTGATCATTCTTCGTAGTCTGAGCTGCTGCTACTACTGCTGGAGCTGCTACTGAATTCCCAGAAATCTTAAAAATAAAAGGAAAAATATAATTTCACCAACTTTGTTATAGAACTTACTAACTTTGCAGAAAAATAAAACTATCACTCCCTCCCAATAGTGGCTCTTCTGTTAGCTTATCTGCCTACATAACCCAACCCCTTAAGAATTCTCAACCAAAAAGGAGGAAAACCAGGTGGCTATTCACAAAAATGGTGGAGAAACTAATTTGAGCAAATTAAAATCTGAACAAATACAGTCCCAGTCAGGAGGTGGAGCAATCTGTCATACTGCCTCCTGAAGATGGTCATAATATGACGGTTATCTATTGTCTGCAATACAGATGTGTTTCTGACCTAGAGGTATATTATAAGCTTAGGTTCCTGAAATGTTTAATTACCATGATGTGTAAGCTTACCTTCAGTGATGACGACCCTTTCCTTCTTGGCACCACTCCTCCTTGGCCAGTAGAATCTCCCATAATTCATCAGCATAGTTTCATACTCGTCATGAGGATCGGAACACACCCAGCAATGCCCCTCAAGGGTGTTAACAGACCAACATCGACCTGGTTTGAGATCTTTCTTTGATTCTCTGTGGCCATTAGTGTTGACCCATTCAATTCTTACTTTACGCTCGGATCTGTTAATGAACTTCACTAGAACTGGAGCAGTTGCGTCTGTCTTGGACTTCAGCTTACTGATGTCACCTAAAGTAAAAAAGCAATGATCGTTAAAGTATATTATTTTAAGTTGAGTGTTTGGTAAAATATTGACAGTTGCATCTGTCTTGGACTTCAGCTTACTTATGTTAAAATGTATTATTTCAAATGATTATTTGATAAAATATTGACAATTTTTGCAGTTTTGACCCATTTTTAAATCATTCATCCATCTATTCATCCCATCCATCCATTTATCCCATTTTTTAATTAATCCCATTCATTCATTTATCCATTGATTCATTTATTTACCCCATTCATCAATCTTATCAATCCATTTATCCCATCCTTTCATTTTTCCATTCATTTATTTATTTATCTATCCATCTACTCTCATTCAATCATCTACAGATCTATCCTTCTTTTCATCTATCAATCTTTTTAATATTTTTCACTTTGTTTAAAAAAGCCTTGATAGCTTACGTGGCTCTCTCTTGATTTCCACCTCTTTGTGTTGAGAAGAAGCAAAGTAAACAGCATTGTCTCCAATGACCATGCCATCTTCATCATCCCTCATGCTCATGGCGGTGAAAGCTGAGCTTTCATAGGTTTCAATTGTTTCTGATTTGCCATCTTTCATCTTCCTAACTTTCTTATGTTTGCCCTTTTTGTCAATCTTAAAAAGCAACACTTTCTTTCCAGAACGATTGATGAATTTGATGGTGACTGGATTTTTCTCAAATCTTGTTCTTGGACCTGAATATTAAGTGCAACATTAACAGCTACTTCGTTTATAATTTACATACTAGCTTGCACGTGGAATAGAGAGAGAACAAATTCTTTTTGCTATGCTGATAAATTGTTTTAAAATGTCGAAAGATTCTAATTCTGAGGGAATAAATTGTTCCTCAAATTTAGAAGAATCGATATTTCTATGTGAGAACTTCTTACCATAACCATCAGGTTCACTGTCACTTTCAGATCCCTGTTGAATAATAGATCCTGTTTTAGTTAAAAACAAATAAAACTCTCAAGGGTAACACCATATTGTATCACATCTTGTTGACAATGTAATATTGATCTTAAATTTCCAAAGAAGATAGAAACAGTTTATCTGCATTAATACATCAGTTTTGGAAACTAAAATACTATACTACCATAGAAGATACTGTATAATGTAATATATGTTATATGATTATGATGAATAAAATATCAGCAATGCATGTTGATAAACAATTCTCACCATGTGCCTCCATAAAGTMAGCAATGTATCTGTATGCATTGCTGATGTTTTATTCATCATTATCATATATCCACATTCACATATGCAGCAACTTGTCTCTATTTTTAAATTTAAATAGTAAATTTACATGTTTTATGACATACGTTATAATTTGTGGTGCTATAAGCCCCTGGAATAGGGTAAGAGCCTGCTTGTTGTCCAGGAGGTGGTCCATATCCTGCAGGTGCTCCCTAAACAAACCAACAATAGTTCAGCAAGTCTGAAAAACTGTTTCAGAGTACAAGAGAACTATAATCCATGAAGCTACTAATGAATTAGAAGTTAAAAGTACAGCACTGATATTATTATTAACTAATTTAGTTGTCAACTATAAACACAACTGAGAGAAATAACATTCCACTTTTTTAGGCATTAATTTCTGGTCCTGGGTTTGATTCCCGCAACAGGTGATCTTGTCCTTAGACTAGACACTTTTATGTCTCACCAGCATTGCTAGGGGTGTATTGTTAGGTGTAACACCCACCCCTTCAATTCTACTCCAGTAGGAGTTTAAGAAAGAGGAGCCAATTTGGTTGACGACTTTACTTGAAATAATTCTTTATACATAGGTAGCACATACAAGTACCACTAGATATGTTGCCATTATGAATTGCAGTGTTCATGAACAGGGATAGCAGTTACGCACTGCATAAGAACTGAGCCCCTTTTTCAGCCCAGCCAGTCAATACATAAGATTCATGACAATTATTATTAAGTAAAGACTTACAGGATACTGGCCTGGTGGTGGTGGACCAGAGTACGGTGGAGGGTTGGGATATCCAGCCAGAGGATGGTTTGCTGGTGGTATGCCAGGTACTCCCTGGAAAAGATTCAACAGATTTTCAATGGAAATTCTTAAAGATCAATGAGTCATACATAAAGTACAAAGAAAGAAAGGTTGCCATGTTTGATGTGAAGGTACAATAAACTTTCAAGATGGTCAAGGGAAATTTCAAGTGGACTATCAGTAGCAAGAATATGTTAAAATTGATCACAATGTATACGGTACTCTTACCGGGGGTAAACCTCCTGGAATTTGACCACCAGGTTGATACCCTGGCTGTGGTGGGTAATAGCCTCCAGCTTGACCAGGAGGAGGATAGTATCCTCCTTGTGGAGGGGGATAGTTTCCTGGCGGAGGATATGTTCCTGGAGCAGGATATTGACCAGGAGCTGGGTATTGTCCAGGAGCTGGGTACTGACCAGGAGGAGGGTGTTGTCCAGGAGCAGGGTATTGTCCAGGCGGTGGGTATTGTCCTGGTGGTGGGTATTGCCCAGGGGGAGGCTTGCCTGACATTCTGTTTAAATCTGTGAAGAAAAAAACAACAACTGAGGTTGTTTTGGAGTAGTTTATAAACTATTTGTGATGGCTAAACACTTTATGAACAACTGTCAGTTGACTGTATAAATAGAAGAGTTCTTTCATAATATCTGTGAATCATAATTTTGCTAAATCCTTGACTCTTGCAAAAACTAAAAAGCCTGATATATCAGGAACATACCAAAATCTATTATTTTTCAAGAAAAAATGCCCCACTTTAAAAGAGATTGTAACAGAAGAGAAAGAATTTTGTGCTATAATTTACTTCCATTCTTTTATTTGCAAACTATTTGAGAGATAGAGGAACACGCAGGCTATCAGTATCACCTTTTGCCACGTCAACAACACTATTTTCATTATGATTTGCACCTGTTGTTGACTAATTTTTTTTATATGTTAATGGAAGTGTATTTTTAAAAATAGAAATTGTTTTTCTAAGAACATAAACTTTGAATGTCAAATTTGATTGAGGTGTTTGGGTGTCAAGCTGTTTTCAGCAGACTTTTTGATAAAAGCTAGTATCTGATATGATCTCTGTCTGAGAAAAAAAACAACATTTTATTCAAGCTGACTTATCTTGTTGTTTTTYTTTTTGTATTCTATTTTTTCACTGGCCATGTCACAAAAAAGTTGATTTTTAAGATAAAATGAAGTAAGGATTTAACACATAGTGAGTTTTATCTTTTTTGTAAATCATTTTATTAAATAATATAGCATAATGTTTAAATGACTCATGTTTTGATTTAAAAATATGAAAAAGAAATAGGGACTTTTCTCTGTCAACAACTTAATAAGTTGTAAAAGGTATTGTATTTTTAAGTTTTTTAATGGTTCAGACTGACCACTTTATAATATTGAAGTTCAAATCCTTGTGGTGATTTGGTGTTTTTGTATCACTTGTTTCTTCTTGAGCCAGATATAATATCATTTTCATTATCTGGTTGTTTAAAGCCTTATTAGCATTAATCCAGAGTTAACTTAGTGGATTTTTTTAGGATTTACAATGTTAAAAATAAGTATCAAACCAAGTACTGTATATAAGAACCAAGCTCAGGCGTCTACAGATGATTTGCATGCATAAAAATATACTTTGTTGACAACTGTTTTCTCGGCGTCCATGGGTGGCAAGTGTTTTCTTTCTCATCTCTCTTTTGCGTAGATTATTTGTGGGTTGAGAAGTGATGTGTATGATAGAAACAGTTAATGAAACGGTAGGAATCGTCAACCCCTGGGAAGATTAATTATTTAGCATGGAGCATATGGCCATTTAGAAAAAAAAACAGTGCTACTTTTAATCTGTTGTTTCATCAACATTAAATGAATATACGAATAAATGTATTGATAGATATAAATATTCATGTATTTTTGAGTCACTTAGCTGAGTGACTATGCACCCTACGAGCTCCTTAACAAAACAAGCCCTAATAATTCTCAAACAAATACTATATCTAGTAGCTCACCATTGATTTATCTATTCTAAACGAAAAACTTTGCACTTTAGCATTTGGTTACTTGGAAAATAATTTGAGTTTTATCTAAGATAATATTGTAAGATCCAGCCCAACAAGTTTGAAGACGAGTTGAAGTTCTTAAATAAGGAAAACAGGAAAATCTGAAGGGTGGTTGTATTAAATGAGTTTAATATAAATAGAAACTTCAATTGGGCTCTCTCCTTACGAAACTACGACACTTGACATAGAAAGAGAGGATTATTTTCAATTTCAATATACAAAAGATCTTTTAGAAAACTAATCAAACTGATAGCACTGTTTTGAACTCGAATTTTTCTCGTCCCTTCCTACATGTACAACAGATATAGGCTGTTGCTTGCACACCAACGGTATACGTTGACCACTTACGAGAAACGTCAGCTAAATTTTAAACAACATGATAATCCTGTCGTCGAAACGACTTAACTCGTGATTGAAGCGATATTTGTTTGCGTGAGTAAAAATCCAGTGCATTTGTATGGCTTGAATTTTGATAAAATGTCAATTCAACATCGACAGTTCTGCAGGTGGAAAGTTGCTATCAAGCATACTGTGGCAAACCAAGATGAAACAGTTTTGCATTCGCGATAAATACACTCTTATCGGCCGCTTTGTGATGCTTACCTTTCGCCCAAGGCAGGATTTACGACAAAATAAGGCGTATTACAGCCCAAGTCAGCAAGTGTTTCGAACAATTCTTTACTTCTTCGATGACACGTCTATAAATATCCCGCAGCCCGCGAAGTCCCGCGGGTGGCTCCACAGGAACCCCAAATTATCGAACCGTGAAACAAAATTTGACTATTAAATTGTGATAATCAACTCGACATAAAAGAAAACAATGGAATTAGAGCGTAATAAGGTGTATTATTCTATCATAACACACTAAAATAATCAAAAACTTTAGAAATTACATGTAAATATTGCCAATTATCCCCTATAATTATTGCCCTATTTCACTATGACGTCAGAGCATTTTAACATGGTGGGCAGAGTAATTGAGAGCAGTGAAGATTTGATATGTGCTTCAAATGCAGCATGTTTTTGCCACTGTTTTTGTACTCGTTGTACGACCATAATCCTTTACGGGTGCGTTAAAACAGCTAAATGCTTCTTACGTCATTATGAAACAGGGCAATTAGATGGATCATCATTTGTAAAATAAAAAAAACCGATTATTTGATGCTCGACTTATAAGTTGACCTCCCTTCAATGTATAGTGGAACGTATTCACTCTCTCTCCGCCCCCAAAACCCTTCGAGAGAGCCTGATACTCGGGCTGCTATCACGATAGCAGGCATAATGGTTTTCACTAGTATTATAATATGCCTTGAATAAAATTGTGCAATTGGCTTAGAGGAGTGGTATTTATCCTTAATACGTGGTATTTCAAATTGCACAATTTTATTCAATCATTTCATAAACAAATAATAGCATGTTTTGTACATGGTATTCATCCCAAATACCACTACAAAACCTGCTATTACATATACTAATGCGAATCATACCCCACGCGATCTTCCACGTCATCAAATTAGGATATTTCATCAGCTTCACGATATGATTTTTAAATTTTCTTTAAACGTGAATGAATACTTATCGAATGAATTAATTAACCTTCAATTTCTACTAGTTCTAGGCAATTAATTTAAAGATTACTTGACTAATTATATAGTARTGTAAAAAGATAAATTTAACACCGTAAAAAAGTAGGTCAAACAATTTACTGACGTTTCGGAAGTTAATGTAAATTCTTCGTCAGTAAAGAGAAACGAAGGATTTACGTCTAAAACGTCATTAATAAGTTGTTTTACTTACTTTTTTACGGTGTTAAATTTATCTTTTTACACAACTGTTTCTTTAGAAACACCGACGCAGCTCACACTAGTTTACCGCTAGTTTCCACCATTTTAATTTTTTAGTATCATTGCTAGAAATGGAAAAAAAATGGAAAAAATATGTTATAAGACTTCCAAATTTATAGACATATTATTGTTGTTGTTTTTTTAAAGCGAAAATGTATGCGTCCTTTAATGTTTGCCTTCTGAAAGAGCACGTGGTTGATATATGTTACAGTATGAAAGTCCGATCATGGCCGGCGGCAATAGTGAAGAAAATTGGCCTGTTGTATTTTGATAAACATTTTGGTATATCATTTAGAGAAAGATAAGACACAACTTGACCAGGTTTAAGAATTTCATTGGAGCTGATGTCCTTTAACCATATAACGTTGTAATTCCACCCCCATGAATTTCTTTGAAATTTGAACAGGTTGATCGTTATATGTTTATGGAAAAGAGATAGATTTTGGTAAACTTTAACATCAGTGACCTTTTATCGGAATCAAAGGTTAGAAGTCGACCATCAAATAAGAGATTCGGCATTTTGCAAATGATGATCTTTGTCGATGAGGGATTGCATGACCGAAATGGCCTAAAAATTTCACTTGTTGGCTTCACCCAGCGTGAAAAGAGAGGCTAGATAAAATTTATGGATCTTGCGGTATATATCATTTATTATTTCCCATCAATTAGCAGAATCCATGGCTCCTTTTGGAAGTGCAATCTCCGTTTGACAATTTCCAGTCGGCATTTCTTCCGACAACCTTTTTGTGTCAGATTCTAAAATAAGCCCCTTTCTTAAGTGTCGTCACTCTGTGGAAGTGTCTTAAGTGCATGTGTTGTGTCATTCTTCCCTCCCTTGGCCTTCTCTTTCAATCTCATCCTCCCTTTCTTTTCTCTCATTTACCTATTCCTTTTCCAATTCAAGTAGTTTATAATAGTTTATAGTAAAGACTGCCACGTTCAAAATTACTCGAAAGCTTTGCATGGTGTGCAAAAACAATATACAACTTTAATTGCTTTTTGTAATTATTGACCACTTACTTTTAAAACTACTTAGATTTAATGATCTTTTTCTATAAAAAAAATCAACTATCATGAGAGATTTATGAAATCTCTAATTAGGGTTTTTCGTATCTAAATTACAGCATTACTTTGTTTTTTAAAGATATAAATCTACCATCTGCACATCTGTTATATAGATGTAGTTTTGTTTTTCTTGACGTCGAGTCATACATAAGACAGATAAATAGCAAATTTTGGTTTAATCATCTTTTGTATTATCACCCCATTTGCATCTTTTGGTGCACATTCTGTCTTATGAAAGCAGGGTTCGCGCTACTCCTTGAAATCCTTAAAAAGTCCTGAAATTTTCAAGGGCGCTTGAAAAGCCCCTGAAAACGGGAAAAATCGCTTTTTGCCGTTTGGATTGAAGTGTGGCTATTTTTGAAAATCGTCAATGGAAACATTCGCAAACATCAACAAATATCTTCAAAAATAGTCCTTGAAAATCGCATTTTTGTTCTTAAAAAGTATTTGAAAAGTCCTGGAATTTTGTAGTGAAAATGTAGCACGAACCCTGCCTGTGAAAGCGACTTTAGTCACTTTAGAATGACATTCGGTTAAAGATATTTCTCGACATGTATTCTTTTATTAAAAAAAAACAACTACAATCACTGGTATTTATTAGACACAAATAATCCAAATATTACGTTTTTTACGTATACAATTATTACAGTTTTTAAAAGCGTTTGCTGACCAGCAGCAGTGCAATACAAGAATAATATATTTATATATTTTTTTGATATATTTACCATATTATATATAGTATTTCTATTCTTTCTCATTCGCTTTCTTGACATCTCTTTTCCCTCGCTCCTTTCTTTCACATGAGAAATGACTTTGATAAACTAATTTAGCTAATATTTATCAATTAATTATTCAAATTGGATTAATAATTGATCAATTTCTTAACTGATGCAGTCAGTCTCCTCAAACTATTTGGTTGTAAAGCTTGGACTCCTGACTATCTTCTTGTATTCTACTTAGAACGATTCACTCCTAGAGCCTCCAACAAACTGCGACTTAGCAGGGTAGCTCATATTTCAAAATTATTGAATTATTGTCATTAAACTACAAATATCTCTCAACAAACCTTGATTCAAATAAGAGTATGACTTTTTGTCGATAAAACAGCGAAATCACATGACCCTACCCATGATGCATCATACTAATGATTTACAAAGTTGGCGGTCAGAATTTTTGCAAATCGCTGTATAATATTTATCAATGTAAAATGCTAGTATTTCCAATTATTGCCACGTTGTAATGATATATTTGTCTTTATTTTATTTTATTTTATTTTATTTTTTTTTTTGCCTCGTTTTCTCCTCATGCAACAACAAAGCGGCGTTTACACGAGCAATTTTTCAGTGACAAGGAAAAATTGCTTGTGTAAATGGGGTAAAATGGACAATTTTTCAATTTTTCCTTGTCAAGGAAAAGCCAACATGTTTGTCAAGGACGAAATTTGCTCGTGTAAATTATGGACAACAAGGAAAATGTGGCAAGGAATTGTCAAGGAACTGAACTTGTTCACCAATCACACGGGCAATTTTTCCTTGTCAAGGAAAACTTGTTCTTCGTTTACACTATCAAAGAAACATTGTCAAGAAAGAATTGTCGAGGAAAACTTGTTGACCCGATTTACTCGGGCAATTTTTCCTTGTCGAGAAATTTGTCGAGTAAAAATTGCTCGTGTAAACGCCGCTTAAAGTACAGACATCAAATCCGAGAAACACGAGCAAAATTGTTAATTACTATAGCAAATATGGTACGGGTTAAGCGACCTGGTTGGTATTTAGTTACTCTGACTACTCGGTCTTCTATGAAGGATGATATGACTGTCTAGTTTCTATACTGGTATGTATATAGAAAACAAATCTTGTGGCTACAAGTCACGTATTGGCAATTGTAAGATTGGATTCCGTTTCAATCCTTTGGCAACCTTCAGAAACGACTATATCAGAAGACAAACCAAACTAAGAAGTGGAAGTTATACTCCACTGGTCTAAAATAGTCCTCTAGATACGAACTAGACTGAGAGTAGTTGCTAAGTTAATCGAAAGTGTTAGATTCTAAGCCCCATAAAAATCACTTTTTTTTCTTTTGTTAAAATAGAACTGTTAAAACTAGGACTGATTACATTATTTATTGCGTCAGTAGCTGCTGAAAAACACACTATTTTATCAGGAAAAACACACTTTGTTAATAGTCGGATATATGGTGTTTTTCCTAAAAAGCTGATTATAACCAAAGRCAATCCTTGGTAACATCAATAAACCCTAGGAACACATGTCAAAAATGAATTATGAAATAACTGTTATATAACGCTAGCTGAAACGTGCCAAAAACCATCTTCCTATGCATAGATAAACAGGGCTTTCAGCTCGTTATACAAAGCCTTTCTCGTTTTCTCCCATCAATGCCACGTGTTTCTAACAGGGAATGGAAATCCCCTAATGTTCAATTAGAAGTCGCTTAAGTTAAGACCTAGCGTACTACTTTGAATGGTCTTTAGTCAACCAAGTTTATTTTGTAGTACCTATATGAAGTCTAAAGATTCAATTACGTGGTTTGTAGTAAAATGTGAACTAGCACCACAAGCGTGAGGATCCGGCCTTTGATCTGACTAAATTTAGCTTTACTTACAAGTACTTGTGGGCTACAGAGCAGCACGTAGCATGTATTTAAGACGCGAGCTAACTGATAAGCGTAAATTAACTCAGGCGTTAAGCAGTGTTTGTTGCGGTTATAGAGTCGGACCTATTCATTGTGTTCTGTGAAGCTATTACTTTTTTCAGTAACTCATCATTGTCTGATAGGTGATCAATGTTGGCTACGCTTAGCTGGATTACGGAGTTAGGAGGAAGGCGCCGCGTGCCCACTCCCCATTTTTCATGTCCCCCGAATTTGCGTTTTTCCTCTGACCTTTGATAGAATGAGCTCCTGTTTAGCAGACATTTTACGGTCTTTCTTATATCTCTGTTCATAGCTATGTAGACGAAAGGGTTATAGATGACTGATGCCTTGGCCATAAGTTCAGGAATCTCRGCTTCGCCACTGCTTATAATATACTCGTGTTTGATCATAGCTATTAAGCAAACAACACAATATGGCGACCAACTGAGGACGAAAGCCAACACAGATGCTGCTATCATACGAACAACTTTTACTTGAGACTTTCTTCGACGAACAAGAATTGCCTTTTGTCTCGATAATACTGAATTCAGCAAAAGGGCCCTGAAAGATCAAAAGAGATATTGATTTTTTAATTTTTTTTAGTTCATTCAACGTGTTCTGACTATCAGGCAAAGTAGAAATCAGAAGAAAATAAAGCGAGCTCTAACCTGAATTACCTCCAAAAGCAGTTTTTTAATGTTTCGTGTCAGTTTTGTTTATATTTATTAGTCTCATTTTGATGTATGCAAGCCAAAGTCAGTTTTACCGGAATGTCAATGTGTTCCCGCCAAAAGCTCTGTATCGCGTGCGCGCCTCCCCAGCGAAGCAACGGGGTTGCACAGGGACGATCGTGGTCTATGTCGAAATGTTTTCGGATAATTCCAGTTTACTATTGTCAAAAAAATCTGCTCATCCTGTCAGCAGAGGCTCCTTTCTATCCACTTCTTGGCAGGAAGAGTGGATTCTCTGTCCCGAAAAAATAAACAATAAATAAATGTAATAGCCGTCCATCTAAGAGATCATCACTATGATTGATAGCCGTTTCAATAGCACCTTTTTGTCTTGGCTACACTCTAAAGCTTTTAAACACATTGATTTTCTTTGAACGTCACACAATTATTTTATCAAATCTTTTATCTTACGCAAGTGATAAAGAAGTTATAAGATTTGATCGAATTATTGCAGTACATTAGGTCAGGAAGCGATCTAACGCGAAGTATGCATGCTCGTTTTTGATTGGCTAATGACTAGCAGTCAATTGGCTATTCCGTGACGTCATCATGCATCATTTTTCTTAAGATCATCATCGTTATTGATGTTTAGGTAGCTTTTGTCTGGTAGTGGCCTCGTCTAGACTAATGTTTTTTTTTATTTATACCAACGTAGCTTAATTAAGTAGAAGTCATTTAGCCGCAGAATCCCCCTATCTTCGCATCATACTATTGCTTTTAATGACTATATTACAAAATATTATGTTCGCTTTCAATGTATAATTTAATATCTAACTGCTCGCAGGCGGTAGTCTCTACTTTATTTCTTTTTTGTTTGTTTTTCAATTTAAAATTTTTTGACGGTGGACTTCATTTTCGCTATAGTTCAAAACAAACCACATTCTCCACTTTAACTGGGTCCGCCGGATGTTCTTTCGTGTCATATGAGATATTTCTCTTTTCTTACCGAAAAGTCAATTGCAGTGTTTATTCGACGCGTGTGCATTTTTACATCCGTCTGTTTTTGTTTGGTCAACATTAATTTATCATTAATTTAATTGGTAAATGTTGACGTTCTGAATGTTTGAATCAGTTGAATTAGGCCTAATAATTTGTATTCGTCGACCTTAAAAGAGAAGATGTTGGAGATTGCATTTTGGCGTATTATTTGGATTTCTCCCATCGAGGATATGGATATCCCCTGTTGAGTTCTTTCTCTTTCTCCGACACGCATATGCCATTTCCAAATTTGTAGTCGATGTTTTAGAGATTTTCAAAGCTTTTAGCTGAATACAAAAAAATAATTACTAGTCCTTTTATGAAACCGGCAATTTGACTTTTTCAATGTGTAATAACATTTTTTTTCCCCTAGGATTGAAAATGTGCCTTAAAAATGCTTTTGTAGACGTAATATGGCGGGTATGGATTGGAGGCTACAGTTGTAGATTAAAAACTTAGAGCTCTATAGATTAGCGAGGAAAAAATTCAAACAAAGCTTTAACATAACGTACTAAGGGAGTTCTCGTGCAGCAGTGTTAAGTTTACACTTAAAAAAGAGTCTTCGATAACCACTTATAGTTACCATACATAAAGATGATTTCTCTTAGTGGAAATATCTCTAAAATTAAGGCTAATAAGCCATTATACTCTTAGAATTGAACATTGGTATATTCAACTTGATTGATGGCTGCTGAAGTTTTTCGTAAAGATGAGATGTGTTTTTTTTTTACTTATTGTAAATGATTCTTGGGTTTTCTTTTTTGGTACATTTATTGTTGAGTACATCAAATGTACAAAACTAAATGTCATGTTAGGATGGATGTAAAAAGCAACGTTTTCGGTGTAAAAAAAAGACAGCTTTTTTTATCTTTTTATTAGATAATAAAAGATTTATTGAAAGACCCTCTGGTGAAATCACAAGGAAATAATTTACAACTAAACATGACWCTTTTTACCTGTAGATTTTGTAGTAGCTTATCAAAATGATGGCCAAAGGAAGAAAAAATCCCATTATCATAAGAGCTATATTGTAAACCAGACTTTGGAATGTGTCGGAAGACCAGTCGGGCGCGCAACTGACCCTTGCTGTTCCCGGAACGAACCGGCTCCAACCAAATAGCGGAGGGACGACGGTTAATATTCCATAAATCCAGGCACCTAAAATCGTAATAGCAATGCGTTTTTTGTGTATGTCAATCTTAGGCTGAATGGAAGTTATTGATCGGCACATGATGTAGCTAATTTCAGTTAATGTCGCAATAGAAGCAATACCAACAGACCCATTGACAAAAGCGGACCACGTACACTTTGCCGTACCCGCCAGAAGCTTTTGACTCGACAACGTAGCGCTTATAACAACAGGGTACCCAAAAATAATAATGAAAAGATCCGCCATAGCGAGATTAAGAATATAAGGTGAAATGATTTTAGAACGATGTCGCTTTTGTACAAAGACGATAACTGTTAGCAAGTTCCCAACAAATCCAACAGCGAATATGAAGAACATCACTGAGCGGTAAACCAATCCTCCATGGCCTATGTCGTCTTCAGTTCCATTAGTTTTAGACGAGGTGGTGTTATTCCCACTACACAAGCATTTCACAATGGTTTCGCTTGAATTGGACGACATGTTTAACGGAAATTGTCCCAGTATTGAAATAACACGGGGATGATTGTCTGAGGTTTGTAAATGAAGCGAAAAAAGACCCCTAGTTAAAGATCTCTTTGTCGCGTTCAGCGGAGGTGGGAAGAGACGAGGAAAAGAGCGCGTTGTCCACTGTGGTCAAATAAATTACTAGCATTTTGTTAATGAAATGTTAATTACGGAGCCGGGGCGCGTGACTTCCAATAACACCCGACGAATAAGGCCAGCATGTGCATCGACAAATCAATCAAGCTCTCAAAAACATCACAAATATGTTTGATAAACTATCGTAAATCTTTGATAATGACCTTTATTGCTTGGGAATTCATTAAAACAATTTGTTTATATTTTCTGTGAGCTCACTGTATTGTCACATTCAGATTCAAGTTCTTTTTTTAAAAAACATCTTTCTACCTTGACAATCAATCTGCAAAAACATAGCAAACCATTTTTTAATTAAGATAAAATGCTCATTGAATAAAATACGGTCAAAAATATAGCTATCTTTTCGAGGACCACTATGGTTTTTACTAAAAACCTAAAATAGGTTATTCAGGTTTCTAGTTTGCAAAAAATATGAGTATTTTCAGAAGGAAATGATATGTCATTCTGAAGTTCTATTTCAATCAGAAAGGAATACATGACAACCAGCCACGTCAAGTGGTTTCTTTTTATGTGTTTTTATATTTCCTCTCTCACTAAAATTCAAAAGCATTCTATATTTGTATGCAAGTAGGGGCAATCTAAAAACAACACCGGTTAATTAAGAACGCCCCAGTATCAATTTTTGTCGGTCCGCTATCAGGGATATCATACCGTGAGTGAATGTGCAACCTCCGGTTCAGCGTTTTTGGATATAGGCCTTACTAAATTAAAGCTAAAGTACATGGAAATAAAAAAGGTCAAATACAGGGTAAACAACTCATTTGTTTACGCGGTTTGGTCTTTATTAAAAACCTGTAGATTGAGCGTTTAAATTTCCTCTTTCAATTGCTTGATAAAAAAAATAGAAATTTTAAGGTGGCTGTATAGTAGTTTTCGTGTGAAATTTCATATGAGTTAGACACCTGAACAATCGCTTTTTTGCCATAAATTGGCTGCTATAATGAAAATTTATTATAAACTTATTTGGCTTAGTGGAAAGTCTGCTGGGTATTCAATTCCTTTGCTTATATTTTGCAAAAATTGATCTCCTGMAAGATAATTTTTACTGAGTGCTGTCGTCAGGGTAACATCCATTAAGGAAAAACTTAATTTAAAAAAAAAACACTTATCTACTACGCCCAGCAAGTGAAGAGAGAGAAAGCGAGTTAAACACTTGAATCAAAATTCATGGCGAGTCACTTAAATCTTTGTCTGGAATGTATATGAAT